CTGTTTGCAAAGGAACCCACAGAGGTAAAAGACCTTGTATTTTAATAGAAATATGAAACTTATCAGCTAAACATTATCTAAACAGGCAACATGCAGTGGGTCACTCCAAACATACCTGTTGTTTCAGTTACAGTAAACTTCAATGACAAAAAAATTTTGACTAATACAGACTGAAAGTCAGCCACCAGTTCTGTGGACCCTTTCTGCTAATAGTTAAGTTCTGAACCTTTTCTTAAAGTCATGAACAAAGAGCTAAACTTTGACCTCTTAACATCGAGAAGTGCAGGATAAAAATATACAAGCAAGCCATATTAACTCTGCCTCATCAGAACCATCAGCATCTAACAGGAATTATGTGTAATTGTATTTTCACTCTATCAGATATAGCTGTATTTGAACAGCAAAGGTATAGTGCAATTGGGGCAGCATCCCAAGAGGTCTGTGGCCTTGCTCACCGCCCAGCCACTCGTGTGACCCAACAGAAGAAACACACATACCTGAAGGAGCTAAGGGATCCCTTTTGTCTTACGCTCCTAGCACGGGAGAACAGCCTCCTTCCTACAGACCATCAATTAATTAAAGGCTGAAAGGATAGACTTTGATGTCAATGAACACATGAATGAATTACAGATTTTAGCAAGCAGTTGTCCATTCTGTGGAGCGGGCAGACCCTTGCTCAACACTCTGTGAGTGCAGACCCAGTGTGCCTTACAAGGATATTGAGGACTTTTCAGAGGGAGCGGCATTGCCACATACCAGTGTTCTTCGTTCCCTGGTTGCACAGTGTCTGTTTGGGCAAGCCAGTCTGGAAGGGCAAGAGACACCATCCAGCAACTTCAATCTGGTTAATAAAGTTTTCTCTCACTACAGCTGAGTGTTTTTGTTTCCGAGACAAAACGTTTCTCCTAAGAGTTAGCAACCATGCATGCAACTGTGCTGAGCAGGTCATTAATTGACCACCTGTTCAAACATTCCCCATACCAAACAAAATGCTTTGGGTATGCTGCTAGCAGGCCTGCTTTCAAGTCCTACACAGAAGCACAGGGCTTCCCCAGAGGCTTGTCCACATGGTGAAAGAGAAAAGGCCTTATGTCCCTCTAGAAGGGCGATGACTAGACTCTGAGGCTAGGCAAGGCAAGTCTGGCTTCTGCATTCACAGAGGGCTTCTGTCTCCTGATGCTACTTCTGCAGCAATCCCATTTGGCCCAGTGTTTCTTCAACTCCAGCCAACAGTTTTAGCTCTGCAGATATAGAGCAAAGGGGTTCTCCAAAAAGTAGCTATTAAAAACTCAGAAAACTGCTACCACGGTGTACGTGTTTCAGTGGGGAAACACTGTCCTACCATGCAAACTCAAGTTTTTCCCCAGGTTACTCATTAGGAGCTTAAAATAATTCCATTTCATATTTCTGCACAGACTCCCCAGACTTTGAGCCCCATTCCTGTTGCTAACAATAATGCCTGGCAGGAGGGTGAGGTGGTAATGACTCCATTATAAAGCAAAACAGAAGGAAATAAGAGTTAAAGGTTTTACAGCTCAGCCACTGCTTGATGTTTTGGCTTTTGAATTCTTCTCTTTGCATCTTCCTTTTAATATTTTTACAGGACTTGCTACATAGATTGTCCATTAAAATAGCTGAGTTATTTGCTAGATAAAAAAATCTAACATAAGAGCAGCTCCCTCTTTAGAGGAAATCAAAATAAACGCAACAAATGCTTAGTTCCACTCTTGCCCTATTGATTTCAAATCCAACAGGAGTTTCACTATTTTATTACCATTTACATGATAACTCAGAATAGAAATTGTTCAGCGAAAAGCACTGAGGTACACCTTAGGAATTGACCCTGACAGGGTTCCAGTTCTCTTGCATTTTTCATTTTGCCATCAAGTTGAGTGTTAGCTTTTCAACTGCACCAAAGCGTACGCATGGTTCCACGATAAAATTCTCAAGAGGGCCTGAGGCCCACTGGTTTTAGGAACTACAGTAGAAAGAACACAAACAGAGCAGTATGAAAAGAAATCGCAGTAAGGCTCTGCTGACTGAAGTCTCTTTTGCATTCAGCATTTGAATTTTGTACATTATTTATTGCCATCATCGAAACTTTAATCCTTAAGGCGTCACTCTGCATGCACCCTTACACTCTTTGTAAGCACAAGGAACCCTAAGTAGCTTAATTCCAATACAGTTATATAAATTATTAACTTCATCTCCAAATACGATGTGCCTTTCATCTGGGGAATTGCCTGAAATCCCGAACTTCAGCGAGGAGTTCGAATTTCTTTATATTCAGTTTCTTTTCAAGAACACTGTTAAGGGATCTGCCATTTGAAGCATACAGACAAGAGCCATCTGGTAAACTGCAAGCAAGGCCAAGAAAAAAAAAAATTATCTACTGGAAACTTGTTACTAACCTCGATGTACAGTTACATTTCTGAATTTCCTCTCTCAGTCAAACATTCTACTCATTCTAATTCTTTTTAACCTTAAAAAAAACCTTAAGCAGATTAACCTACAAGTATCTAATTGTAAGGTACCTTGACGTAATTTACTTACTACTCCAGGTTTATCACACATGATGACTTAGCATGCGACAGATCTCAGAAGAGAAGGAACTCTGCAAACACTACTTCTATTATTCATTCTCTACTGTCACCCTGAGGGTTCTCAGAAGAGCTCTCCAAATGTCACCTTCCCACTAACTTTCACATAGCTACATACATGTGGCTACAAATGTTGTTTCAAGTATGTCCCAGTGTAAACATTCAGTTTCCAGATACACAGAAAATGCATTAGTTTCTCCCAAAGAAAAAAAAAAAGAGAGAGAGAAAAAAAAAAAACTAATTGTGTCCACAGAGCCAGTACATCCTTCTCTGTTATCCTCAAACCCAAAAGCAGATAGAACGAACAAAGTTATTTTTAACATCACTCAAACTCTACAGAGCTTCCTTCAAGGGTCACTGAAGTCAGCAGAAAGACATGTGTTGACTTCTTCCTGCAGTGGCCCTAACCACGCATTCAAGTTCTTAAGTAGTTACTCAAGTTTGGCTGTATTTGTGTCTCAGATGTGATTTCCAATATTTCCCTCCAAAATACACATTCACATCTGAGTACTACAACGGTAATACTTTGTACAAATATCTATATTCCTGTACATGAGGAAATATGTATATTCTTTGCTAATATCAGTCTTTCTTCTGCTTGAAAAGTTTCAGCCATCTAGCTAAGAAAAAGGAACAAGCTAAAAATGATCAGTTGTCAAGAAGAGTGCTATATATCCAGAAACGGACTATTTGGCTAAACTACCAGTAAATATCAAAGGATAAATCAGCAAAGACCAGGAGAATTCAGTGTTTGCCCAAAACGGGAATAAAAAAGGTGGTATTTTGAACGAGGAAGAAAACTCAAGCCAAACCACTTGCAATTTTTTAAGTGTAATATCTTCAGATCTCTTAAGCGGAAAGAAAGCAAATGTTAGAAGATACAGGAATGAAAATACTGACAGCTTCTCAGTTGAATTCGTTTTAGGATCTGATCCACAACTCAGTAAGGTAACGAAAGACATGGCGGGTTTCTAGAAGGTATTAGATTGTTGTTTGCATAGGCAATAAGACATCACATTAAGTAAGGAGTGGTTGTGAAGCAGGCAGTGCGTATAGAGAAACTGCACTGCCAATGTCTGCATTTAATTTTTTACTTTATAATATACCCTTTGGACATAAGGAATTTTGAGAATCCCAATATTACAAGTCTTTTAAGTTTATTTCTGAATGTCTTGAGCTAATCTACTAAAACACTAATCTTTCTTTCAAATCTCAGACAACTTGAAGTCGTGAGTTTGCTCTGCATGAGCAGAATGATATACTACCTCCACTGATTTCTTTTCACCTCTGTCTTTGGAGAAAAGCTTAGATTCTCATAGTAACTTCTACTGTCAAGGTCTTTACTATTCTTAAAAGCATTTATAACGTCTGACCCTGTAAAAAACGCTTTCCACAATCAAGGCTTTATGAACATTCCAATTCTGTTTCATTCCAGGCTTAGTGAGGTATATATTATAATCCACAGTTTGAAACTAGGGAAACTAATGCAGATACGCTAAATAATCTAGATCGGGATGGAAGCCTGAACACACCAGATCAGTGCTCAAACCGCAAGGTCCATTACAGTCTTGTTTAGCTTAACTTCTTTCTGTACTGCTTTAACTACAATACTGTCTTGTTGTAGAAGTAATGCAAACACCACTGATTTCTCTTGCATGCTTTCTTATTTTAAAATAAATTTTAGAGTATCTTTTTCCTTTGAGCACAAAAGAAACGCGCTTCTTAGAGTTTGCTTTTCATTAGAAATCAGGAGTAGTATCAACTTTTCTCCAAATTACCTTTGGAGGCTGCATCTGGTTAGTTTAATTCTTCAAAGATTGCCTTGCTCTGTCTCCTTGGCTCTTTATTCTCTGTCATATACTGGCTCATTTTACGTCTGACAGTTCTTTTATAACCAGATTTCATTTTGAATCCGATTTCCCCTCTGTCTCATTACTTTCTGTCTTGCTCTCTGTTTGTTCTCTTTTTCTGTCTGACGGTTCTCTTATTAGTGGATTTGGTTTTGCTTTTGTTTCATGTTTTCTGGTTTTATTCTCTTGTGTCTTTCTTTTGCTCTTTTCCTTATTTTCTCTCCTGTCAAGACCTTCTTTTCTTCCTGCCTATTCTCTCAAAAAACGTATGTACTTAAGCTTTTGTTTAAGGTTACCAGATTTCAGCATGTGGAGTTGGTTTACTGTTAGATATCACCGTGCAGGAGGATCCTGGTTTGATTCTTAATTCCTTCAGCTATTTGGTCTAAGAGGACAACCACTAATCTAAGGACCACCCTACTTGGCCATCAGCTCTGATTCTCAGCCACTAGAATGAGCCCCAGACCTAAAGTAACTGAGTTAAGAGTAAGGTCACTCTGCTTTTAAATTCATTACTTTCTCTCACTGTTGTCCATAAGCCATAAGGTACCTTTCAGTCAATAGAGAGAGAGGGTGACACACAGGCTACGCCTTCACAGTTCTGCGTCTCCATTCCACTCCTTGCAGGTTCTCCTAACGCCTTCTTCTCTACAGGAATTGAATACTGTCCCGAAGCACAGGAACAGACACTTGCAGTTCATTGTCTCTCTTTTTTGAAAGAGTTGTGTACACACACACATCACAGAAGTCTTGCTGCAAGACATTTCAGAGGGAAGACGAGAGCTTTCCCGTGTACTTCACTGGTAAAAAGGTGAAAGAGCTGCTATGAGAGAGTTTTGTCCATCTGGGCTGCTAATGCTTTGAAGAACCCAATGAACTATGAGCATCACACGTGTCCCAGGGGCTAGCGAGCCTGCACTGGAGCAGAGCGATCCTTTCCAAGCAGTCAGGACTCTGAGTGAATCTCAGGGAGACCTCACAAATTTGTCACCTGCATCACTAACCTGGGTGACGTGCTAGACCCTGACGCAAGACCAAGCAAGTACTCCTAGCACAGGAGGCTGATCTGCAAGGAGGTGCTTGGCCTATACCGACACTTGTAGATCCATTTAAGTATGGGATATTTATATTTATGGGAGTGGAAAAGAAAAAAGTGGAAAGTTGGATGAACTTGCTGCCATTGACTGCAAGGAGGAGGAGAGGAATATATTTTCACCACCACACTTTACTCCTGCATATTGCTGTTGCTGTGTTTTTCAAATTAAAAGGGAAGTATTGCAGTCATAAATTTTCTCCTCCATGATTACGGATGGAGAATTTCTGCTTCTGAAGGCACCAAGGAAAGGAGCTTTCCTAGATTTCTGGGTGGCAGCTCAAGCTGATTTAGTATTTGTCAAGAGACACATTAAATAGACCTGGCCTTTTTTGCTGTCATCAGCTGTCTGAAGGACAAGTTACAAGCATAAGAGTTTGTTTTAATGCCACGGCACTTATGTTAGAGAAAGCACAGCTGAAGCATCTTACATTTGGAAGGAAGGTGGTGATGTCAGTGATGATGATTACTTGCTGGGGCAGTTCATTCCTCAGTGGGGGACTGGTCCCTGAGCAGTGTCTCCCGTACATCTTTACACTGGTGGTGAACAAAGTAATAAATTGCCTCCTGTAAAATAAAATTTGGCAAATCAAGAGAAGGATGAAGTGCCATGTCACTTTCATAGCCCGTAAAGGGGATCTCTACCAAGTGACTCAGCATTTCTTTAAAGGTCAATACTGGCCCAGAGCAAGGAGCGTATTTCCATTCAAGCATTTTTAGAACACAGCCTCTCTACTGTCTTCAAAGAAACTTTCAGGTCATTGTTTTGTTGACATGTCAGGGAACTTCCTCAGTTTCTACTTCTGTGGACTTAAAAACCAAAAGCAGTACTCTATACAAACACCAGTTCAGAGTGCCAGAACAATGTTTTCTGCTTAAGCTTCTGAAAAATAAAGACAAAGCAAATCATGTGTGGTGCATGGTGCACTCATCATGCCCTAGCACCCTGTCATAGCAGCTAATGGAAGCTAAGAAATCAAAAGGATATGATGCATACAATGATATGGGGCAGTGCAACATAAAATGTAAAGTCATGCTGCCATGCACCATTATCTGCCATATTTAAATCCAGTGGACGTACTAAAAGATGCAGCCCTGTGTGCCAGATACCAATTTTGTATTCTTGGGCCAACATCAGATTCATCAAACTGAGTCCAGGATGAGAAAAAAGTAAGTAGAAGTAAAAGTAGAAGAAAGAAAATGCTCAAGAAACACACTGGTGAAGCAAGCTTTTTTTTTTTCTCTTCTTTTTTTAAATAGAAGTGTCTGCACCAATTTCTCAGGCTAAGTGCTATTAATCACATTACCGCAGTAATTCCCACCAGTAAAGATGATTCATCTGATCTGTTGATAAGAATGGTCACCTCAGTTTCTGCAATCCCTGCCCTTTTCCACATCACTTAGTTTCCTATCTTGTGATTTAAATAGAACTGGGACTATATGGCACACCCTTGATACAGCAGTCCCACCAGCATTTGAATAACAGCTTACCATATGCATAGAAGCTCCCATTAGCGGTCTTTGAGCACTTCCGAACCTGACATAGCACTAAACTGCAGCAAGCAGACAGGGATTAGAAATTTCAAAGCCATTTAGATGCCTAAAAGATGCACTGTCATAATCTGCCTTTGGGAATGATCTGCCCTCATAGCATACACTACTATGTTAGCAGTGCCCTCTGATTCCCACAGGCTCTCCTGCAGCCCAGTAACAGCCTACCATAGGCCCTGCTTCAGCATTCACTGCTGTCTATGCTGGATTTGATCACAATAAGCACCCCAGGCACCTTTACTAGAAACAAGTATTTGTGGATACACACTGCTTCTAAACTAAAACCATATGGCTGAGCTTCTGCTTTTTCCAGCAGCCAGAGAAATGCAGCCTGCTGCCCCATCCTTCCAAGGGGACACGTGGCCACCGAGCTCTGCAACCTCCTCTCAGGTGAACTGTATCTGTGTGCCCGTGAGTCTCAGGCCCATGTCCTGCCAGGTAGTGGTAGAGACTCTCCCCTCCTACTTCCTAGCAGTTAGATGCCTAAGTCTGAGACTTGATACAATTAGCATAAGATCAAGCCCAATATGAGTCTAAAACATGGTCTGAGACCAGCTTGTTAACCCACTATGTTATTTGCCTCAGGAGTTCGCTCCACTCTCCAGGGCAGCAAAGAAGGCAAGGGAAAGGCCCTGTCCTGCCCCTTATCCTGCTAACTGGCAAACTGTCTCAACATGTTTCCAGCTGTCACTTCAGTAAATAGGTCTGTCTACTTACAAATGAGGTATGTCTTTATCAGTTGCAGTTCCTGGGCATAGCTAATCTTAACACAGAAATTTGTGGCGTAGGTATAAAAAAGTCAAATATTTCATAAGAGACAGGCTATGATGATACAAGTCCACAAGAGGAAAAACCTTTGCAGTATACAGGTTATACAGCATTATAGAACATCAGCTGATGCAGCTGAAACAAAACATCTCACCAGCCTTCAAAGTAGGCAGTCAGAAAGGCCTTAATTAGATGTAGAGAACCACAGACAAAACTTCAAGAGATCCAGCCTGTGGCATCAGAACTATTTGGGGCAACCACACCATGACTGAAAGGCAAGATTTATACTAAGGCATTGACAGAGCAGCTTGGAGTGCTTATCTGGCAAGGTGATCTGAAACAATGAATTTGGTCTTAGGATTTTGATCTACATTAGCATAATTTTTGAACCAGTCAAAAGGCAAGTAACAAATTTCCTAAAGTAAAACCTGTGCTCCATAGAAATTAGAGACTGGTCTGCATTCAAACACAAAACTCTGTAGGTCAGCTCTTGCACCTGCTCCACCCTGCCTGAATTTAACAGTCTGATATTCCAAACTGAGACTGGCAAGTAACACCACAATTTGCCTCTGTACCACAACATTAGCAGAACCCAAACAATCCCAAATGGAAGATTCGTAAGACATCCTGGGTCCTCAGTTTCTCAACCTTTGTGTATTGAATTCAGGCCAAAGCAGTGATTGTTTTGAGTCTGAATTCTGATGTAGAGTCAGGAACTGCTTCTAAGCTTCTGCCTGGAGCCCATCTCCACCACATTCAGAGTTACTGCACGTGCCAAAGCTATCACGGACTCTGCATGGTCCTGCCAAAACTCTATTCACTTCACTGAAACTTAATTTGGCACAGTTTAAAGTTGCTTAATCCAAACAGCATCTTGTTAGAAACTTGTTGGGAACTATCCTCCAGTTCTTTATCAGCAGG